AAAACATTGGTGGTTTATGGGGGTAAAAAACAATACAAAGATCCTGTTTGTTCTGAAAAAAATGTTGGCGGATGGCGGTTGGCGGTTTAACGAGGGTCTCCTTTAGCTTCAACCTTAGGGAGATTTGTTCAGGAGGAAAAGTTGGTGGGAACAGAGGGTGGCAGTTAATTGGGGGGCGGTTTAACGGGGGTGGACTGTACTATTGCTGTCCTGCAGCATTTGGAGGTTTTCGTTCTTTTGAAAATTTTTAAACCTTTTTTTTGAAAACACGAGGATTAAAAATTAATGAGTGGAATATTACAGATGATCGAATCGTTCATCGTTCTTTCGAATATTTTAAAACCCGCTTTTTCAGAACAACAGGATACAAAATTAGCAATTCGAAATAGTACAGATATGATCGAATCATTTGGAAATATTCTTGAGAATTTTCTGTGTCTGCATTATTTTCTAAATTTTCGTCACCTCAATTTTGAAAGTACGGATCAGTCAAATAGTGGATTTCATTGAGGTTTATTCAAGAATTCAAGTCTTGTCGAAATAACGGAATTTTTCAAGCACATCTAGAAGAAAAATTTTACATTACTTTTGTTGATAAATTTTTCGTTCATTTTTGAGGCAATATATAGCACACTGAGATTTTGCATGAAAATTGCAGCAATATTTTCGCCAGTGAAACATCAAAGGTGAATAGGTGATAAGAAAATCAATGAATATTTGACGTTTTTCAAACTCTTCGCTTGCAGGTATACGAGGACTTCAATAAATTGCTTCACTCAGAATTTCTCATTCCACTGCAGAATTTTATGCATTGTATAAGGAATTACTCTGTCATTTTTATTAACTCTTCAATTCATCATTTCTATGGTTCACAAGGATATAAACTCTACGTCTTTTAAATACCCCTTGAGCTGCTCAAGAGATTCTCTTCTAGGCTCCTAGAGTGTTTTTCTTTTTGAAGCTCGGACGCAGTTCGCGAAGAACGAAGATAAATTGCTGTTTTATTTTCTCATCGGTCATGGGGCACTAGACAAATGTTCTTTGTATAGATCACAACGCGTTCAATTATGTCCAGCGCAATGTTAGTTGTGCATGTACACAAACTGTAGAAACGCACTTCGACCTTTCACTTGGACAGAGCAAACGCCTCAGTTCGCATGTTAATGTCAGGCATCAAACGTTTGTAAGGGATATTTGTTTTCTGCGGGTCTACCGTGCAAAAAAAATTTTGCTAATTCAATAAATGTCTTCCCACTATATACGCTTCCGAGCACAGGAGAAATCGGGAAGATATGGAGCTCAATTCGCACTTCGAATTTTTATATTTTTTCCGCCATTCTTGCGAAATAATACTGTGCAGAGCTTTTACTTTTATTTTTAAGAAAATTGATGTACGCATTTGTGCAGTGCTTCCCAGGTTTGCGAACTCGTTCATTTTTTGCCTTCGTGCATAGTGGCGAAAAAGTGAAGATTCATGATAAGTAGAAAATTATTCCTCAGGGTTATTTGCCTTAATTTTCTATAGAGGGTTTGAATAAGACACCATTTTACTGAATGGCTGGCTGGCTTTCAGAAAAATTGTCAGCTTGCTAGAACGATGCTACTCGGGGCAATATTTTCCTCACAATGGTTCTCGGAAGAGGGGCATTATTGAGGTAATTGCAGCTATGGTGCATTTCTGTGCAAGAGAGTAAAATTTCTTCCACAACATTAGCCTCGAAATCAGGAACAGGAGCCAGAAAAAAAAGTGAGGAAAAATGAGAGACAGGAGAGGAATTATGTACTGAATATATTTACTGTATGTATATAAATAAATATATTAATTTATCTAAGAGCAAGATTCACTGTATTTCAAAGCAAGGGAGAAGATAGAAAGAATGAGGAAATTTTCAATTGAAAAAATATAAACTTTCCTTTACTGCCTTCATAAACTGTGTGCCTCACACTGCAAGCGTTGTATATAAGGACCCGCGCAAAATACTGTACAACGAATTTCAAATCCGTCGCACAATTCTTCCTAATAAATCATCAAGCTTTTTTTAATAAACCCAAACTCATAGCTTTTCCACAAAATCCCTTTCAAGAAAAAAACTTGCACGACGAAATTAGGTTGAATCTGATTTGTCTTAGAGGGAATACAAAAAAATCCAGATTAGCTCAAGAGTTCGCCCGCAGTGGATCGGAAACCTGTAAATGTTATGCGAAAGCTATATTGCATCTTTATTTTTACAGTGTCCTTTTTTTTTCTTAGCATTCCTTTACACTTTTTTTACTGTATGCATTATTTGTTTCTATTTTTAAATGGTGATCATTCGTAATAGACGTTGTGAACTTTGAAGAATCTTCCGAACATTATTATTCTCAAAGTCCTGCGAAAGTTCAGGTGGTATATACAAGAGCTCATCCGTATCCTAACGTTCAAATGTGTGGTACTCAGTTGGACTGGGACCAATGATGGACCCCGCCCTATCCTTCGAGATACGCGCATGGTCATTATTTGTGCAAATTTCAAAAATTGATTCACCTCCTCGAACTTTGACGTCGCGACCAGCCACGGCCCCGACGGAATTTTGCGCCACGCAGCGGTATGTAGTGGAATGCACATCCGGCCGGAAACTCGACGCGGAAAATGGCAAAAGCTCCAGCGACCCATTCACGTGCGTCCTCAGCACTCCAGGCACGTCGGTGACCTGAAAAGTCCAACGAAAAGTGAATTTCCGTTGTCTCTCTGTAAGCGTATATTTTAGTTTTATTTTATTCAATTTTAACAATTCTGCAAATACTACTGCACTGATGGGTGTCAACTACCAACGCGAGCGAGCAGCTGCTGGCTGGCTGAAAAGAAAGTCATTCGGGATATCTCTGCATTCGATTGAATAGATCCGCTTGATGCCAACGAACTCAACTCGTCAGACATCATCCTTTTCTTTCTTCGTCGACAGTTGCTTTATTTTATTTTAATTTTTTTTTAGAAATGGAATAACGTCACGACTCATGACGCAGTTTAGCGGACATTCGACCTTCACGCTTCGCTTCTCGAAATTGCATGACTCGAACAAGTGTCCGGACCAGCATTTATTGTGCCCAAAAGACCGAAAACGTATGCGACAAGATGGCATCAACCAACTGGGAATTTTATGAGGAAAAAATGGGAGACGCATTTGGAAATGTTTTCTTGCTTTCTTCGAGAGTTTTGAAAGAGGAAAAATTGAAGTGCATTTTGAAAACTGTAGATGAATTTGGAAACAACGAGAAACGTATTTCGAGGTGATGAATAATACAGTATTAGTTATTAATAAGTTTGAAAGACCTTTTTCAGAAGCTCGTCTTTATATTCTGGAAGCCGTCAAAAAATATTGTAGGTCGAAGTCATGGCAAGATAATAATTATAATATTAATAATTTAATACAAGTACAGACGAACCTCTCTTATAGTGAAATTTCAAGGAACGAGTAACAAATTAATTCAAGTTAGAGAATTTTCAAAGCGTGGATATAACAAGTATTCTTGAGGGAGGAGGGGGGGGGGGATTTTGAAGAACTGCGGGAAATTGTAAATGGTGATAATCTGGGCCTTGAATTGCCTCTTAAATGAGTTGACAGGATCCTGAACTGGGAGACAAGGGTTCATTTTCCCAAGATTCGTTCACTTCTTTCCAAAATGCATCAATTTAATTTTTTATGGGTTTTCTCTTTCCTGTGTCCAGAAAATATTAGACAAAAGACCTCAGGAAATTAGAGTTACGCTGGTTTGAGAAAAATGTCTTTGACTTAGAAGGATTTTATCGCATTTTCAAAGGGTATTCAGACGGAAACTTTAAATGAAATTGGCTGCTCGAGGTATTCGAATTTGTGAGGTCCAAGTTATCGAGATTCAACTGATGATGCATTAGAAAAGATTTCACCGTCCTGCTGTTGACATGTGAAAATTGGATAGAACGTTTTAATAAACGAGGCTCCATTTATCCTGAGTACCATCGCTGCTTTATTACACATACAATAATTAATTTAGCGATTCGGAATTACCTTGGAATTGTCGTTCATCCTGTACCAGCTGACCGTAGGACTCGGATGACCAGTCGCAGCACATTCCAAAAATGCCCCCGAATCGTTGGAAAACCTGAGCAGATGCGGCGGTTCCCGAATAAGCCTCGGCCCTTCCCAATTTTCGAAGAAGCCACTCGTCACCCCTGTCAACGCCACATCGAAACACACACAGAGGAGATGTGACTAAATTGAAGAAAATTGCTGTCCACAATTGCTCTAAAAAAAAGGGAGTCTAGCTCGAAAAATCTCCCGTCAGCAAATTGACGGCTCAGCGATAGAGCTCGTGACACGCTTCGTCAGGCACTCGACAATGACGCGTGTAATTCAATTTTCGGGTGGGGCATTTCTAAAGAGTGTGCTATTTAGATGCTAAATCGTGCAAAAAATTTTGACGGAGACAGAAATTTTGCAAATCCTCGATGTACAATTTTGATATGAACTCAATCGTTGAGAGAATTCTCGGAAGGTGTACGATGATTCATCGACATGCAGTAAGTGAACAATCAAAATATTGTGCGCGTTTTAATACAGTAGGCCTTTTCTTTTCTGATTTCCATTCACGATGAAGTAAACAATTTTCCGTAACTTTATGAAGTCTCAGATTATCATGCAAACATCTACTTTAGGACACTGGCTCAAAATATACTGCCATTCAATTCGTTAACATTTCATCAACACTGAATTAAAATCGTCTTGAGCATAGGTTTGAATCATTAACTAAAAGTTTCGATCTAAATTTAAATCGCCGATACAGAAAAGCTCACGTAAACTGTTTTTACACAGTGGCCGTTTTTTTTAAGGTCCACGAATGACGAAATACAGTATTACTCAATTGATAATTTCTTTTCGAATGAAAATTAGCAAACTCCATTTTCAGTTAACCATTCCAATTCAATACAGTATTTTTCTGTAAATATTGCCTCGCAAAAATCGATGCAATTTTAATTTACCCTGAGGAAAGGCCTTTTTGAGGGCGTCAAACAATGCATAAACTATGGAGTGGGTCAAGTACTGAAACCCTTGGCAGATTGCGAATCAACTATATTAATTCAAGTTATTCGAAGTCAACAAAATGTTTCCTAACTAAAAGGATAAAAGAAACCAAACTATGACTCGCATATTACAAAGAATCAAGCTCCATAGTTCAGAAAACCACAAAATAAAATTTGAAAAACTAAACTGTACTTTTTCGAGCCGAGAAATTTTCTTTATATTTACTTTCAGTATAGGGAGACGATCAGATAATTTTCGAAAAATAGGCTACAGATTCTTAACATCGATTTATTTATTTTAATACAATATTATGACATGCGACCTTTTCCAATTATACGGCAAAAATTTACAGTTGGGGAACTTGAAACATTTTCAAGGCAAAATAAAAAAAACACTTTGCTTGTCACATTCCGGGGGAATAATTAAAGCCGTACCGATGAGCGCCACGCTGACGAACACGAAAGCTGTCGACGTTGTCTGCATTGCCATCACAGACGAAGGTTTCGTAATTGCGTCGTCGCCCATCAGGTCCCGCCGATCATTCCTGACTTATCAGGCACATTCTGGAACCAGAAAATCAATGGCACAAGAAAAACGAGATTATATCTCCGGGAAAATGGAAGCCCTTTTGAACCGGAACCGGATGCAGTGAAATCGCGGTTGCACGAGCCCATGCTGCGAGCTAGGGGGCCCCCCTGAGAAAACCCCTCTGGCAAAATAAATCCCGCAGGCACACAATTTTGACAGGGGCAAAATCCCGAAAATATATAATTGAGTAGTTTGTTTCTACAGAACATATATTTTCATTTTGAGTTTCTGAGGAAGTTGTGATGGAAGGTAAATCACAAAGATGCAAAAAAGATGAAAATGAATATGAGACGCAATCCGCCCGGGAACAGGGCAGGGGATTCTCGGCAGAATCCCAAAAGAGAAATAGAGTAGTATATTTCAAGAGAGAAAACTTGTCAAGATTCGAAAATAATCACAATCAGAAATTTCGCAGCAAAACGCAACAGAAGTACACACTTCGAGACGAACGAACAGACTGTAAAGAAAATAGGTTAGAGAAAATGGAGGGTGGATTTTCATTGCGCAATCGGGAAATCCGAACAGGATTTCCCGTTGCGGGATTTTTTGCGCAGCGGCAGGGTTATTTTATTAATTTATATAACGGGAATTGCGGGACGACTATCCCTTACAGAAGTGTCCGTTGAAAAGGCATATTTCTTGCGGTTTAAAAAATTTTCTTCAACTGCTTCTGCACTCGAAAATATTCACGAAACTCTTACGTTAAGATATAAATGCCGATCGGAGTTAGGTATTTCTAGATAGATGCTTGTTTCCAAATTACTGCTTCAAAATCATTCCGAAAAAAAACATATTCATCAGGCACACAATCGTGACGGTGCTAAATTGTCAAAAATGTATAATATAGTATTTTATTCCACAGAATATCATTTTTTCGAAATTTGCAGGTACTCAATTTATGATCGGTCTTTTTTGCGAAAAATATTCACGGCCGTCTATAACATTGAATTGAAAGGCTGATCTAGAAAGTTATTTCAATTCATGACTTCTTTCGAAATTCTTTTAAATTCTTGTAATTTTTATACATTTATCCCAGCATTTTAAATCAACTCAAAATCATGCATTTTTTCCAGAACATCTGTCGCAAAATTTTCAATACGGCGAATACCAGCTAGGGTCTGTAAAATTTGCTTCTCGGTGGGATTCTCGTTTCTGCATAAGGCATTTTTTTTCGGCGGCATTTTCGTCCCTGTGGGATTTTTGTTTCCACGGGATATATTTGCTCCAGTTGGGTTTTCTGTCGCGCCCTTGACGATAAGCAATACGGGTACTCGTATACACGGTTAGTTCGATGAAAAACGAGGGGAAATACAGTACAGTATTATTATTTCTTGCGAAAGACTCTCGGCAGGAAAATGTCTTCCTCTACAACTTCACTCCTTGGAATCTCAAAATGTTTTCAGGGTGATTTTTTTCCAGACTGAATGAAAAATGAATCTGTAGCAGGTCGGAGTCGATCAAAAGAATAAGATGACGAATCACTGCGGAATTGTTAGTCCTCGTTTGATTTTCTTTCTATATACCAGTATACATATGAAAGCAGATTAAGAAGGGGCAACACCTGAGGTATCAGGAAAATCAAGTTCCCAGCACCCAATGATGAGGGGGGTGGGGGGAAGGACAGTGTGAAGCCAATTTTCTCAAGTAACGCCCGAGAAGATTTTCATTCCCGGCGATAACATTTCTATCCGCTCCGGCATGATTTGATTGCTCGCCATTTGTCAGTCCCTTTTTTCCCCCAACCCTGAGGATATTTCCTTCCCCGTTTTTCCTTTCTCTTATTTTCTTCAGGGTCTGCGGACTATTTGTCGATTGAAGTCGGGGGTTGAAGGAATTTGCTCGCGGAGACGCCCGGGAATTACAATCCGATTGGATGAAAAACGTGCCTTTGTTACCCCGCAAAAGAGGAGGTGAGCGAATTTTCGGATGCGTGTGATGCAAGGAAGAAAAGGGGGGGCTTTGTATCACTGGTGCGTTTGAAGTAGGAAAAAGGGGGTCATTTTCAAAGTTTACGACTCGGGAGAACTTTGAAAATGCCACCCTTTTCTCAGCTATGATTCCCTCAAATGTGAAAAACTCTTATAATGATATTAAAAGGAAAAAAACTCAGGAAACCAAGATTTCTTCACAACGCAACAAATTACCGCAATAAATTCACGTTTAGATAATGCCATGGATGCGCCGCGCTCCATTGTTCGAATGTCGTAGAGTACTTTTGGTACTATGATGAGATAGGAACGAACATGCAGTAAGAAAAATATGAAATAATTCAGTACAGACTTCAGGCAAATACAAACAAGTAAGAAGAAAATAACTCTTGGACTATGTATTCGTTGAGTCAAGTTTACTTCGGAAAAAAATGCCTTGCCAAGATGAATAGATAAATCTTTGCTTCGTGACTCTAACCCAACCACAGAACAACTTTCCATTCCGATATTTTTTTCATCTCGATCTGGTGACAACACATACAATTCTTCACTGAAAATAAAACGATGCAGTTATTTAAAAAACAAAGCTGCGATACGTCAGATGGTAGCAAAAAAAACCCATTGGTCAAATTGCTGCAAAGATGACAAACAAGGCTTTTTCATTTTTAGAAAAATGAAATTTGAATCTTGGATGGATCGCGTGATTAAATAATAAAATTGACTCGCACTTGAAATCGCATGAAAAATATTAAAATTGATTTACGTGCCAGGAATCTCGAATATAAAGCTTCCAATTATAATTCTACGCTTCATAAATCCGTTCATGAAATCTTTTCAGCGAAGTGATCAAAATAATTTGCATGGTACTCAAAACGGGCAGTTCATAATCACGTTTCGAACCATAAAACGTTCGGTTCGGTTGTTTTAGCAATTCTGTGGCGGTTAATTTATTTTCCAGTGCAGCGTGGTTATCAATTGTATAGTTTTTCCGATCCTGTACCTGAATTTTTTTATATTTTACGCTTCGATTTTTTCATGATTAAACGCGAACAAATTGACTCATGAACTCGTCGAGTTACTCTATTCACATCATTTATTATTGTTTTAACTAAGCATTTTTACAAGTTGGGCTGTGCGAAGCATGCTTGAATGACTGCATCACGCGATTTTGTAATCACGGTTTTTTTTTCGTTGATTTTTCACGCTACAAACATTTGCATCCTGAATTTGCTGCGATATTGTCGAACTTTTTCTGGATATATAATTCTTTATCCTGTAAACTCAAGAATATGAAGTATTGAGCAAGACGGACGTCGCAGCAGAGAAACTTTTTTTTTTCGCCACGAAACTTTTTCTCAGGAAAGTTTTTCATCTCATCTGCAACTTTCGACGAGCAGCTCGACCATTCAACGCCTTTTCAATGCATCAAAACTATTCCGTCTGCTTTGTCGGACGAATAATCTGAATGCCTCATCCCCCTCAACGTTGAAAATTCGGCACAAGACCAAAAAAAAGGGCGCAGAAATTGTTTCACACGCAACAAAAAAAGAGAATAAAATCAGACAAAAAGGGACAGAAATTGTTTCACGCGCAAAAAAAAAAATTAAAAATTTCACATTCGACTCTTCTATGGATATATAGAAAAGCAAAAGGCGCCCCCGGACTCAGCCGAGCACAGGCCTCTTCAGGACACGCTCCAGATCACGCTGGCAGCATCAGCTCGGCACCAAAGGGATCCGAAGCGCGGAAAACTCTTTTTCCTTGTTCATGCTCTCCTTGTTCCCATTCAAATCCAACAGCAGCAACAGACGTGGACCCCCTGCGTACCTCAAGGTTGCCTGCTGTTGCTGCATCTACTTTCCTTTTTTTTAATTTCATGCTGCTGTTTTGTTCACTTTTAAGGATGATATAGAAAACGTATCAGTGTAGTTGCTGCAGCAGCAGCAGAGAGAATCCCCGCGATGAAACGCAGCCCCCCCACAGAGAGGGGTTCTGGGTTTTATTGGGTTATTCCGCCGATGACACGGCGTTCGTACCATCATAAAGGCATGGTGTAAGAATAACTCAAATATATACTCCTCAGCATGCAGATATCCCGGTGGTACTGCTCATATACATAGTGAGACAAGCATCCGAATAAAACCCCTGGGAAGACAATTTGTCTTAGTCATAGCCGTGTAAGACCATGTAATCATGTAAGACCTACTCGTCAGTGTTTTACTGTCAGTAATACAGTGCATTTTTGGGAATCTAAATTGTTGTTTTTTTTCCTTTTACTCTGTGATTTTTCATGATGAGAAAGATATATTGACTCACATTTGAAGCAGATTTCAGGGGTCTACAATAACGGAAGTTGTGAAGCAAAAAATATGTTTCCGATTACATGTTGAATAAAAATATTCTCGAATGTTGAATGCACCAAAATTATGCAATTCTTCGCTTGTTTTTCTCTCCAATTATCCAAAATACTTAGAACAATAGTGCAGTACTTCGTAGAGGGAGTCGTAGACATCAGGTATTCATAAATTGTTGAATGACTTTGGAAAACTTGAAAAAATGAATCAGTTTTTTTTTTTGAAAAAAGGTGTGTTTTCAGAGAATTCCGCCAATTTTCGAAGGACTTTCCCTTCAGGTGTTAATGGGACCAGAAGCGAATCGATGTTTTGCGTGCAAGTGAACACCTGTACGATTTGTGTAAGCCTTGAAAGAACTTATTTTAATGAAAATCAATGACAGTACTCTATCTGACATTTAAAGAGCGGAACAAATTTATGTCTCAATATTAGGTCAATTTTTTTAAGGCCTTATAGAAGTTTCAACATAGCGTTTGAAAAAAATATTTTGAAACGCTCGTAAAATCGAGAAACCGTAACTACCATCATTTATCAATTAATATTTATAAACACATATTTTGTGTGCAACGGGAAAATAACAAAACCTGTCAACTTAATTTTCGAAAAACCGGTTTCTTCTGGACAAATCAGCATAAATGAAAAAAATAAAGAGATTTTCCTAGCAGCAGCAGAAAAAATGCCTGTATAG